TCCTTTTTTTCAGCCTAGTCATTCGACATCCACACAGGTTTTATTGCCATTGTTATACGGTCTAGGGTGATAAGCGCGACCCGATCTCCCTTACTCCCTAATGCCCTGACGATTAGGTAGTGCAATAGCAGTTACGAAGTAAGGGAGCTCAGTCGACGCTCTGAGAGCATACACATTCGAGAGCATTGGGGAAAATGTGTAAATCCAGCACTGCCACGAACTTTGTTCTGCCGTACTACGACGTGTCGTAGTGAAGAATACACTAACACACAAAAACACACACGCACACAAAGTTTACGTTTTTGCGTGGTTCTTTTTTTCTTAAAATCATGTTGGAGCACTTACTTTAAACTCTTTTACTTACTTTTATTTTATATTTCTTGCTGGGTCTTCTCAGTACAAGGTCTCCGCAGTAGATTTCCAAACTGATGGCGTAGTTTTAGACTCCAACATATGTTTATAAAACCCTCCTAAATTTAATAAATTATTTTGAATTTTGCTTGGAAAATTGCATACTGCTAAAAGAAGGATTCAGTAATTAGCCTAGATTCTCTCGTATTAGTGCTTGTAATTCTAAGGTAATTTCCATTTAACCAAGCTACTTATGCCCAGAGCCGGATTTAGAGGTGTGGAGGCCCTGGAGCAACTATGATGTGGGGGCCGCTATTTTCATATCACGAACCCCGGGCCACTTTCGTATTGCAACCCAAAAGGGCATTTTGTTATTTTTATCTCTGTTGTGGGGACTCCTCTCAAGTAGGGCCCCCTGGGTCACAGCCCCGCCCTGCCCTGCTTATGTCTATACTAATAATTTTATAAATGCGAAAATAACAAACAGTTAAAACATTACTGATAAAGTTCTGTATAGAGATAGATCTGTATGTTGGACATGGGCTACTTTTTGTTATAAAAATAGTGGTACGTAATTTTTTTTTATTTTGTACAAGACAGCTTTACTTTTGGATGCACCTAAGTAACTAGTATTAATTAGAAATCCTTTTTTGAACATACGTTCATAATACTTGTCGTTATTTTCACATTTATAAAATTAGTATAGACACAGCTTTGTTAAATGGAAATTATCCTAGAATTATAGGCACTAATACCCGAGCGATCTTCAATCTATCTTTGAGTATGACATTAATAGGATAATTACGGAATACTTACCATTGGCCGTTTGCAATTTTCGAGGCAAAATTCAAATTAATTTATTCAATTTACTTTGGAGACTTTTAAACGTTTGTTTGAAAAAACGTTTATTAGTCAAATTTGGTACCTATTCGTGGGAAACTGAAAATATTATTAACTGACATACATTTCGAACACGGTTCAACAATTATGTCGAGGAAAATAAATATATACAAAAAAAATATAAAAGAGAAACTGTTTCTGTATTAATTAATTATTAGCACGTGAATGAACGAAAGAGGTATGGCCCAGTAATAATTTATACATGATTATTCACGTCACGAATGCTGAGTACTTTATAATGGCTTGTGCACAATATATATTATTCTAAGAAAACGAACCGAAACGAACGAATTCTAAGAAAAATACTTAGGTCAGGAGGAGTAACCTGCAACGATAAATGATAGGTATAAATAACGAGGTACAAAATAAATAGAAATGCTTCAACTGAATAAGAATTTTCCGCCTAACCATATTCCGGCCCCCTTGTCTGTGGAAGCGAAATGAGCAGAAACTTATTATCCATACTAATATTATAAATGTGAAAGTGTGTCTGACTGTTGCCTCTGCAGGCAGAAATAGCTGAACCGATTTCGATGAAATTTGCTATAGAGATAGTTTGAGTCCCGGGGAAGTTTTTATCCTAAAATTCACCCTTTAAGGGTTGTTTCGGGCACTCACTAGTTGTCAATAAATATGCTTAAAATTTTTGTTTATCCTGTTTATAAATATTGCAATACAAAGGCCAAGAGGCCAAGGTTTCAGCGATTAAAATTGATCTTGAACAGTCAAGATTGCATCAGGAAAGAGGGCTTAAGCCGGCGGCGCTTATTTACTCTACCACACATGTATATAAGTGTCATGATAGTGACTTAATTGAGAGAGTTCTATATTATGGCATGAAGATATGTATATAGGTAGTTGTAAATCTGTTTTATTTTGAAGAGGTAAATAGGTACTCGTACATATCTACTATTTAAGAGTGAAATTAAACCAAAATTAAGTTTTATATTTTTGTATATTATTTAACAAGGCTTTTTTATATAGTATAGATACAATTTACATTTTCACAAAACATAATTATAAATATCAACAAAGTTATACAGTTTAAATCTTAAATATGTACATAAATTACATCATTTATTGACTCATTTGCTTTGTATTTTAAATAATTTTATTAATGTGATATTATAACTAAGTCATGATCAGACAAATACATAGAGCGTGTAAATAAATACCGTATTATACTTTAGTTCGGTTATTTTAAATCACACACATTGTGCATAGTACATACTAATGGTTCTTGGTGTATGTGCGTCAAAAGAAAATGAAGCCTTAACTATTGTTGAGCACAAGTTTAACTATCCTTTAAATTTTCTTTAGGTGCTGTGCACACATGGACACCTTTTGTTACCGACACGGCACACCATTACAGGAAACCGTAGTTACAATGTTGCGGCGATCGTACACAGTCACCGGTTACTATTAATCAGGGCGATCGCGCTAAATGTCAAACGATTGAAACGCATTGAACCGTAAACGAACCGTAACTTTTTGTGCATTTCGTATCGCTCTAAAGTTTTGACAGCTAGTTGAGATGTAAACCTTACACGATTGGACCGTAGTCCAGTGAACTTCAGTCAAAAATATAAAGTAGATTAGTAGGTTTTATATCATGTTTAGTTGACAGGTGAAAATTAGCGTGATACTGATTTCGTATAAGGTTGAGTTGTAATTAGGATTGGACTAAGCTTGAACTTAGGCTAGTCGTCAAAATAATAAATAGCGCGATTGTCTGGCAGGTCACTGATTTAAACAATAGTTGTTGTGTTCGGTAGCGGCGATTGAAACAGTCACCGCACCGGTCGCTACTTCTGAGTGTCGATTCTGCGTAGGGAGTAGCTGATTTCATACTGGTTTTATAAAAATCAAATAATCATTGGTACCCGACACAAGAAGATACAAAAGTGTCCACGTCTGCGCAGCGCCTTATATTCTAAAGTTTGATAGATCAAATGTGGGAAATTGGAGTCGTTCAGCGGTATATTTTTTGAAAAGTTCCATAGAAAGAATGAAATCTAGTTACGAAATATTTGAGACTTCACTATTAACTAACATTAAAAAATAATATTTCTGATACGTTGTTGAGCAAACGCAAGAGGGCTGATAGCACACTGCTTTATTGGCATTGCGTCTCAGTACTAATTCATAATTATTTTCGATTTCTTTCAATGTTTACAATTGTAAATATAATTTGAGTAAATCGTTCGCATTTAATATGGCAACAAAATTTTCAAATGTAATTTAAATATATGCATTTTAAATGTGCCAAGAACTTAAGTGACTTCGAATGATTGAATGGAAAATCAGAAGTACTCCTTTATCGGTATAAAGTCGTACTACTTTCCATTCAAGAACAGAATTCAAGAATTGCAGAAGTCATAAGATAAATATATTTTTCTCCTTTTGATTGAAGCTAGTTATGGCATTTTTAAGTTATTAAAACAGTTATGTTTGTGAGAATAACACTTAACAAAGATCTAAACTAAGAGTATACAAATGGCGGCCTTATTGCTAAAACAACCAACCTAAATATTATACGTGTATTACAATACAATACTTTTAATTGCTTACTAATATCACTGGATACCACTTCTGTGTTGGATACATTACAGAAGTATTACATACATTCATTTGGTTTTATATCATGTTTTAATTCATAATCTTTACAATAAAATGCAGCCTCAAAAAGGTATCATATACGTAGGGCTGCCATCTCTAAGATGTGGCAACCAGGACAAGACGCGGAATAACCCCGGATTTTGGAGCCCAGAACCCGGACAGACCAATAAAAAACAGTTAAAAATGTCACAAATCAACTTTTTTTATGTTGATGTAGGCAAAACAGCTAGAAGTCCACCTCATAATAAGTGGTCACTGCTGTCCATGGACACTTGCAGCAACAAGGGCCACTCATGTGTTGCCGGCTCTGAACGAAAAGGTTCATCCGCCTCTTTAAGATTACCATATCATAGCTATTAAAAAAAAATACTGAGGCAAGTTCGTTCCAGATCTTACTGGTACGCAAAAGAAAGGAACACATGGTGCTCGAATGCTAGGCGTCCAGATGGTGGGCGTTAAACTTCTCTGCGGTGTGTGGTGCTGTGGAGAAACTTGGCCACTGGCATCCGTTTGAATAATTCCTCGGAACACTCTCCGTTGTATAGGCGATACAACACGTATAAGCAGTTGCGTTCTTGTGCGTGTTGTACCGTCTGCGCATGCTAAGGGGTTGCAACGCGTCAGGGAGCTCAGGATCATCGATAAGTTAAACTGTCCGCTTTTGTATCCGTTCAAGAGGAAGGAGCTGATATTGGGGTGCTGCAGCCCAGAAGACCAGTGCTTTGTAAAGTAACACCCGATATTTAGTCTTGAGATACTTACTAGATCTATTAAGCACCCAAGCTTTTTCACACAAACTTGTGTCTTTACTGGGTTAATCCAATCAAGTTTTGTTGGCTTCAATTTGAGACTTTATCCAGTAACATCTCAATCTCGGACACAAGTCTGTCTTCATACCCTTCTTCTTCCATCCGAGGGATGTTTGACTGACCAGTGTAAAAAGTGTCAGTGCTGACATCCACATAGCAACGAATGCTGTTATTGCGTACAGCGTGAGCGACAGAGCTGGGGGTCATTCGCCTAACGTAAATGCTTTGGAAAACGCTAACGCTTACGATTTCATTTTGTTATTTTCTAGCCGCCTGAGGTTTTCAAATGCCTCGCGCTCTTTTTTTTCTTTTGCATTGGTAATAACAATATCGAAGAAAATGAGAGTGAGGTATTTGAAAACCTTCGGCGGTCAGAAATAACAAAATGAAATCGAAAGCGTTAGCGTTTTCCAAAGTATTTACGTTAAGCGAAGGACCCCCTGATCTTTGAAAGAGAAAAGATTTATTTATTTTCAAAGACATTTAAATTGACGGATTAGTTGGCAACCCAAAACAGGAAATTTTTAAACCCGGACTACAAATGAAACCCCGCCCGGACGCTCCCCGGACGCCCCGTAAACTAGGACAAATCCGGGGAAACCCGGACGGATGGCAGCCCTACATATACGTATAATACTTACAATAATATTTAAGCTTCATATTAAGTTTACGTACAGTGAATTATATACATGATATTCTTTTATTATATTGGCATATATTCTTACGTAGGTCTCCTCTACGGAATCACAATATTACATAAAAGTTTAATAAATTAATGTACTTACTTAACAATATAACTACCTATGATCTGAACCAACTAAGTTCAAACATATCATCACAAAACGCCGAAGCGAAGAACTTATTTAACAAATTAAACGCTACCTTTGGTTACTTGTTACGTCGGTATCCACCAGTAAGAATGTTCCAAACATGTCTGCCACGTGACGTATACATTTTTTGTCGCTCTGTCTTGGCGTCGCTCTTGAACAACCTCCATTCTTCCCGAGTCGCCTCGTCCATTGGCCCCCAAGTAGATTTAGCGGAGAAAGACTTCTTTATAGACTGAAAAGATACAAACATACATACATGCACATGCTTTAAGCCACATTCTGCACTATTTCATATATACATGTAATAAAATGGTAGGAAAGTCAAAACTGTACATTGAATATTTTTTAAAAGAATACTTGGGGTGTGATTTACAATCGATACCGAAGCCAAAAATCTAGTTTTTAGATTTTTTGTCTGTTTGTCTGTCTGTATGTATGTCCGGGATAAACTCGAAAAGTACTTCATCGACTTACTTCAAATTTGGCACGAATATTATTAAGAAGTCGGGTCAACATATAGGCTACTTATTATCACGCTATCACCTAGGGGGAACGAGCAGTGAACCTTTATTTCTTACTAACTCCACGCGTACGAAGTCGCGGGCGGCTGCTGGTATTAAATATTCGTACATAAGTATGCTAACTCGCTGAACCTAAGACACTTCCCCGTGGAGCCCTGAAAACCTTTCTCACCGATAGAACACACCAACAATTTGCGTTATATTTCAATTATTTCACTTTAGTCTTCTGTGCGGTGGATCTTGAGGTTACTTTCCCAGACGAGCGCTCCAATCTGAGGGAAAAATCTGCTAGATTATAGCAGACTAACCTACCTCACATAAGGACATTGCATATGCTTTAAAATGTCGTCTGGGAATATTAATACATAGTAATTTTTTACCCTATTCTAAAGAGTTTTCACATATTTCAAAAGTCAAAATAAGTATCTTTATTTAAATTGGATGCACAATACAACTCTTTTGAATCGTCCAAATTTTTTTCGCTACCACCAGATAAGGACATTTTTTTAGGTGTGGAGAAAAACTTTAAAAAAAACGACGGGTTTCACTCCTGGAGTACCAGCAGAAGTGAAAACTTGAATATTAACGTTGGTATCTCTTATCTATTAGACAAGTCCGTCTGTCTGTGGTGCTGTTTCAGCGGCCAAACCGTAAGAGATAGATAAAGAGAATATTTAAGTAGAAGTTAAGAATAGTCTGATAAGACTACAAACCGGATTTGAGTAACGTAGCACTTCCGGTTTTCGAGAAATCAGGTTTTGGTGACCATTTGGTTCACTGGTTTGCTAGTTTTTGATATTTTGGAATGGTTAGGGAATAATTTTGCACGAATTGCTTTAATTATCAATAAAAAAGTACTTATGTGGTAGAATACAATATTTATTTATGGCGCTATTGTACACAAACATGACAATTTATATTACATTAAAAAGTTTATCTCTCAGAAAAATCAACTTACATGAATCACATTTAAGCGCACCTAGCGACATCTATTGTAAAAAAAATGCATTTTCTTCGCAATAAAGCTGCCACCTGAACGTCCTAATTAGAGATTTATTATTATAATACGATAAAATAAAATATCACTATTTTTCGTCCAATATATTGAAAGTCAACAACCTTTCCAATTTTATTGTTTTCGTTTTACGAATTTTCGATTAGGTCACGTGTCCTGACGCGATCAAGCCATGTGTCCTGACGCGAGTTTACCAGTTTTTACCCATTACAAAAAAAAAGTGTACAACGCCGCTAAAGAAGTTTTCACTTCAAAAAACTTCACAGCATTAAATAATTATTAAGCAATATTTACAAAATATTATATTATTACGGTGTCAATACAAAATCATTATTTCATCTTCATAATAATTATAGAAAAAACCTGCCGGAACGTTTGAAATAAATGTAATAATAGGCTTTATTAATAAGAACTCTTTTAATGGTAGTGTTAAAATTGACGTTTAATTTTTGGATATTGCTAGGATCTTTATTGTAGAAACTTACACAAAGACCTTTAAATGAATTATTAATTTTGTGGAGCCTTGTGCGAGTGCTTTACATTATTTATAGGAAATAATGTAATATTTATTCGAACACACATTAAATTTTCATAAATGTACTGAGAAGAACATTTATGAAAACTTAATTTATTTGCTCTTTTACATCGACACAACACTATCTACCACACAAAACCATTGATAACTTCGGTAAAGTAAACTTATAAATGATTGTATCACTTCCAGTTGGACAAAAGAATTCTCTAATGTTTATATTTTAAATGAGATAATTTTAAGTAAATGAGTGCCTAATCGGCAAACAGTGCGCGAACGGCCCGTCACGCTTACAGCGACGCAGTGGCCGGTTGTTTGTGAAGGACGGATTTTTTCATTAATAATATAATATTTATAGTGTATTTTTTAGCTTTGTTTCAAGTAATGTGATCACAATATAACTCATCAAAAAGGCAACTATGACTTTAAATTGAAATTTTTAGAATATGCGAATTAAATACTGCATGTTATAACATTTATGAAGTATAATATACTAAATAAAACCTACATTTAAAATTGGCCTTCATGGGAATTCTGTTGTTTTTTTTCTAGACGAATTTGTATGTCTTAATTGTCAGGAACATCGATTATACAGTTACCTCTACTATATAGTACTTATTAATCACTAAGACCGATTAATGTTCCCAAGCAAATTATGCTACTTATTACGTTCCAATGCCTTATTTAGTTACCTTGTTTAATTAAGGCCTTTTTTTATTTTTCAACATTTAATAATATATTATAGAAGATATGTTAATTTGCTAATATTTGTTTGTATGCATTCGTTTCTTTATTTTATTCTTTATTTCTTGTTAATATGAGACTTTAAATTTGATTAGCAATTTAAGCAAAATATTAAGTAAAATAACTTCAAATGTTGTTCAAGGATCTCATGGAAACACTTCATTAAAGGCACAGAAATACATATTTTAATATAATTTATACTCTAATAACAATATTCCTATAATTAAAGTACAATAGACTTTGTTAAGTCACTAGGAATATTTTAAAAATGCCTAAGGCTAAAGTTCCAGAATTAGCTTCTTTTATAATATTGATAAAATATTGCAATACCTATGTTTTCTAAATTACTTAAAATTTATAAAGCAAGGAATAATGCCTTGCTTTTATTTATCACCTTCGATAATTTAACAAGATATGAGTGTTTGAAATTAGGTTGGTCTTATTTGTATCACTTACCTTAGTTTTGTAAATGGTGATGCCCATGAAAATTGGTACAAATAAAATACCAACTATTAACATCAAATATCCAGACACTGAAAATAAAAAAAGGTAAACATACATATCTTTATACCAGTAAAAATTCTTCTGTCCGTGTGTATATAATTGAACTTTCCCTAAACGATTAGATCGATTTTGATTTCGGAAATTCTTTCAGCAGTTGAAAGCTACATTACTGCCTGTGACATTTATTAATTTGAAAAACGTTCAGTGATTGTTAGCTAACAAAGATTACAAGGTAAGAAGTGACGCCATTTAGGTTGCCTCTTTTGGCACATGGGAAGCATTGAAAATCTTATCGTTGAAACTTACTCAGCAATGTTATTATGAAACAGTGAAAAATATCTAAAAGAACAAATAAAAAATACTAATAATTGAAATATAGGTTTTAGTATTTTTTTGATAAGCAGTCAGACAATATTCAAACCAAGAACTAGCTAAGTAGTTGGGGGAAAAGCGACTAGTTTATTAATATCCTTTGCGGAGCTTACGAAAAAAGAGTATTGTACTACGAGTACATTGAGCTGTACACCTGTACACCACCTATTGATTCTATAGGGTTTCCCATATTAATTTTTGAAAGTAAGTCGGTCATTCTTATGACAAGGTGTTCTTCGTATAATTTCTGTCCCGATTTTTAATTATCATTTAATTCCTTGCACTGACAATAAAACTTGAAAAACACGTTAAACTTTATAAATTTCTACATATGGCACTTTAATTAACTATGTACTTGGTTTTGGATTTATGAAGTGATCTACTTTTGGGCGTGACGAAAATTACATTCGCAGTGACGGAATCTAAAGAATAGCTCAATAAATTATTAATTTCTATTTTAATAAGACATACATGGAAAATATATAACCCAATTAATACATGCAAAAGCATTGTTCAGATATAAATGGCCCAATAACCAAAAAAACATTCCTGGTACTTTCATTATACCATCAGCTCAGTCGGCGATAATCAATTCATTCACTATGTATGTTTCAACGGAATCAAATAATACACAGTAGTTTTTAGGCATTTTATAATTTTTTTCGCGTTTTCTGGTGACGGAAATAAGTAACACGGGGTAAAATTTTAATTATAAAAGAAATGATTAATCATATTGAATAGTTCTTTGACGATAAATTCAACGTTTCATTTGTGAATAATAATCATTCGATAGAAAAACAATCAGGCATAATAAAATAAAATTAAACAAGCGAACGGAAATTAGAGGAGTAGTAAACCATGCTAATGGAAATTACTTTCTTATGTTATCTAGTGCGACAGCGAAACACTAGGCATCAACTGGTTCGGTTACTCACGTAGCGGTTGTGACGTATTCCTAATATGATATATTTATTGGTAAAATACACAGCGTTAAATGAGAAATTCATAATTTCTTAACCAGTGACAGAAATTGGGTCAAATAAACATTTCTTAAACTGATGATATTTTTTTACTAGCTAAATATATTTAACTTCTTTTAAAATATATATACCGTAATGTAAAATCATAGCTTGTTTTGGAATAAATAAAGGCAAAAACTGTGATTCTGGTTACTGGACAGCTAATGGAAATTAGGAGAACCACTTAGAAAAAAATATTTTGTGTAATATTTATCAAGTTTAGTGTATATTATTACATTTCTTATAAAATAATTGCTAGAAATAATCCCAAATAAAATAATCAACTCCAAAATAGATTAGTAGATATTTTCATGGACGCACAAAAATCAGGTCAGCTGAAAATGACCGAAGTCTGGTGTGCCGATGAGGCTTTATGCTATTTTGATAGTACCTACATACTAAATAGGCTTTGCTATTTCGCGTCAATGTAAATTTCACCTATGCAAAGTCAGGTTGGGTCGCAAATTTATTGAAAAGTGGGAATTATAGTATATTTACCATATCCAGCCGTAGGGTAGTAGTAATCGGCTCCAAACTTTAGTGCCTCACTAGTGACAAGTGCGTAGATGAACACTATTATCATCATGACCGGTGTGATGAAGACCCAACACATGCGCCAGTAGAACGATGTCTTAATACCAAGCATGAACTCGATGTCCAATGTTACGTTCTCCAAGCCTGTAGCCGAAACGACATCTGGAGTTACTCAAGGGAGGGGAACTTCTTAGATGTATGCAGTACAAGTTGACCCTACACTTATGATTCCAAATGAAGAAATTCCGGGTTTTCAGCTTTATGTTAATTTTTTTTGACTATTAAAATAATTCACTCGATACAGGTTTCAGGCGGGATTCGTACCAGCATCTTCCGCTATCCGGGCGAAATAAATTATCGCGGACTCGTAAAAGTAAAGTTTCAATTTTAACATCCAACAGTTTAAATGCTAAATATATTTTTTTAATAACTTAATTTATCATATTTTAATAGCCAACTTTCATAATTTTTTACGAGAAATAAAACATCGGTGTGTTTCCACCCTTAACACAAAATAATTAAAAAAAAGCACAAACTTAGGTAAATTATAAATTGCCCGTTTAATATGGAACTCGGACATTAGGTGAGGTTTATTCCTGCAACTGTGATTATACCTACTTATTTACTATTAAATAAAATTTCAAAGAAAGGAAGTACAGCGCACCTCTATTAAGTAATCGGTATGGCTAGGCAGTATGTTTAGTTTAACGATAAGATAGAATATTTAGTTGTTGGGTACATTTGGATCCACTCCTTATCCAAAATCGGTGTTATGATAATGAATGTAAACTCTGCGGAAATCAATCTAAGTATTTACATATTCTTAAAATTATTTTAAGCAAAGTGAATCTACCGTATATCCAGAAAACTCCAACAATTTCAGCAATAGCACAGAAAAGTGCCAGGAAAGTTCCACCATAGTGGTCGACAAGCTCCAATATGTATTGACCTCCCTGTAAATAAACAATGAATGTCTAGAATAACATTAATAAATTATATCACTAGAGTCTGTGCGGAAAGAGAATGGGCGTGGCGATAAACGGAACTATCATTAAGATTTTTATTTGGCAATCAAACCCAGCAATCCGTAAAATGTCAAAGTTTTCTATTGATACGGATTTGTTTGTTGTGATTTCTTGCGGTTTTTTGTATTTAATCATATCTAAAAGGGGTAAAACCTTACAAATACGGTAGAAAAACACTACATTGCCCTCCAATCTAAATCCCATTCTCTTTCCGCACAGACTCTATCCGACCTCGAATAAAATTGGGAACAGAAAAGGCGAATTACGGTCAAGAAAATATTTAAGTACCTATTACCTACTTATTCAATGATGAATAAGAGATGCCTATCAAGGTTACGTCTAATGAATAACTGTGCTAGTGCTAGGTGATGTAATCACAGTAGACAAAGTAAGTAGGTACTTAATCTATGTAGTTAATTTATAAGATTATTAGAATGTTTTGTTTATATTACAGCAACACTGGGTTTACCGATATCGACTGACTTTTGTTTATGTTATGTTTCTCTCACTGAGTCGAAAAAAAAACGAATATATGGAATTTCGTTCTACAAAAAATTCAAGCGTCATTTCTAATTGAAATGTTACTAGGTTAGTACGTAACATGAAAATATTTTGCCGCTATCATGTAGAACTCTTACATTCATCATTTCTGTGTACCGTCATTTCTGTGTATAAGAAATGATGCTTTTACACAGAAATGCCAATATTTCATGGTGCTCTTTGAAACAAAAGTAAGTTTTAGGTATTCTATATTTTAGGTACTTATTCAACCTTTACTTAACTATGATATTAAAATGTTTTTATTTTTATTTCAGTCCATCATGACAGAAAAACTTAAGGGAATTTGTATGCATTTTACTTGCGATGGACCGATGACAAAGTATCGAAATAAATATTTTTTTTCCATTGCACACTTTATTGCTGTTAAAATGAATGTTGAGAATGTAATTTGGCATTATAGTGAATCTGGCGATGGGTAGGTGCGCCTGATGGAGTAGACGGGTGTGTTAAACGATCAGCAGATGAAGCTGTACCTCTTGAAAAACACGTATCGGAGATACATTAACTATTTAACAAATTGTCTGGAATCACCACAATCCATCATTTTTAAATGCTAATAGGCTTAGCTGTTGGTTATTTTCTCCCGAAACAATCTATAAACATTAAGACCCTTGAGTTATTAATGTAAATAAAAACGAGCAAGCCTTAAAGTAGTCGCGTATGATGTGTAACATTTGAAACCTCACCTTATATAAGTAAAAAAAGAAATAAAACCTACTACAAAAGGAATAAGACATTTGAACATTATGTTCAAAAACCAAATAAATAGCGCGCGCTTTCGCGACTTCCTGTTACACGCTTCCGTCCCATTTCACGAAATCACTCCCACAAATTGCAGGAAAGCGAGAGGAAAGATGTTACACTTCAAAAAAAAACGGGAACTATCCACACCATATTTTCAGTAAATACTAATGTTGATTACGCCAATTACACCGCAAATGGTATACATCAAAATATACACAGAAATGTCTATCATTTGTATATTTTAGTGGATTTTTTTGTTAATAGTTTAAGTCTTTCCTTAAAAATATTGTTTATTTTGATCAATAAATATGTTGATTCTTCATTTACGTTACCAAAAGGAGTGAATACTGATTCTCATTAGGTTTTTTTTGTTAATAATCTTCTGAAAATATCGTATACAAAGGAATGATCAATATTTCCAAATAATGATGTGTATGCGATTTTTTAGTTTTCGCTTTTTTGAATAATGTTTCTCTCTGTTCTTTTTTGAATATTTTTTTATATGAACCCGACAAAAATAAATACGTTAGTATAAAATTTACACTATTTTCGTTACTTTATTTTATTTTTCATGCTAGATTAGAATGACCCCACTGCATGTACTGACGCCTTAAATAAACGCATTGACCAAATGAGCAATAACAATTTATTATTTACCTTAACTCATTGTAAAAGCTAAGTAACTTGTGGATGTGTGACCAAAAGTTAAAGATGCTGCCTGAGCTATCATGCTTTGGAAGGTACGCTCGCTAACAATGATGATAAAGGTGACGAAATATCACATACCGATGTGACGTAGATCAGTCTGATGCAAAAGTCGATGGTGGAGCACAGCGCCGACATGTAGACGGTGCGCACGCGCGGGAATGCATCCATCATGACCGTGTTGATGACACTACATACCGGTGTGACATAGAACAGTCCGATGCAGAAGCCGATGGTGCAACACAGCGCCGACATGTAGACGGTGCGCATGCGCAGGAACGCGTCCATCATGACCGTGTTAATGACACTACATACCGGTGTGACATAGAACAGTCCGATGCAGAAGCCGATGGTGCAACACAGCGCCGACATGTAGACGGTGCGCACGCGCAGGAACGCGTCCATCATGACCGTGTTGATGACACTACTACATACCGGTGTGACATAGAACAGTCCGATGCAGAAGCCAATGGTGCAGCACAGCACCGACATGTAGACGGTGCGCACGCGCAGGAACGCATCCATCATGACCATGTTGATGACACTGCATACCGTTGTGACATAGAACAGTCCGATGCAGAAGCCGATGGTGCAGCACAGCGCCGACATGTAGACGGTGCGCACGCGCTGGAACGCGTCCATCATGACCGTGTTGATGACACTTCATATCGGTGTGACGTAAATCAGTCCGATGACGAAGCCGATGGTGCAGCGCAGCGCCGACATGTAGACGGCGCGCACGCGCAGGAATGCGTCCATCATGACCGTGTTGATGACACTACATGCCGGTGTGACGTAAATCAGTCCGATACAGAAGCCGATGGTGCAGCACAGCGCCGACATGTAGACGGTGCGCACGCGCAGGAACGCGTCCAATATGACCGTGTTGATGACACTACATACCGGTGTGACGTAAATCAGTCCGATGCAGAAGCCGATGGTGCAGCACAGAGCCGACATGTAGACGGTGCGGACGCGCGGGAAGGCGTCCATCATGACCGTGTTGATGGTGGACATAAGCGCCACCGCAGATCCTACGCCAAGCACCGACATCATCAGGAAGAACAGCACTGCGAACAACTGAAGAGAAACTTTATTTTGATTGATCTAAATCTTCTTATCTACTGCATACTTCAAATACTACAAGCACCCATACTACAAGCTACGCTTAATTTAGGGCTAAAATATGTTTGTGAATGTTTCCCACATTATATATTTTTTATTTAATCACCATTCTTCGTTTTTTGTCTAATGTTCTCTCTAATAAAACACAACAGGCACCCTGAGGCATAAAAGCTTTAGCGATGGCGTCAAGATAGATGTAAGCCAAACTTGTGCTAAAGGAGACAACGACCTCACTCAGCTGAACGGGCTCATACACAAGGTTGGCCAACATCATCTCTTTCACAAAGTTTAGCCCTCCTTTCGCTAGTAACAGTATAAGTTCACCAGGGGCATGCAAGTTTTACCGATGCCGTCAGAATGATAGACTATGGCCCTGTGTAAGAACCAGCTTGGCGAGTTCGTACACAAGGTTCTTCCGGAAACTCAAGATATTCTCCCATCTTTGGTATCACATTTCAGCTTAATATCATAAGGCTTAGCCTTTAATTTAGTAAGCTGGTGCTTCTCGCTAGCCTGCAACTTTTTTCGCTAATAATAGACAACATTCACCGGGGGCATGAAAGTTTTAGCGATGGCGTCAGGGTAGGAGATGAAGACTAGTGCCGCTTGAGCCCACGACCTCGCTCAGCTCAACGAGCTCATACAAGGTTGTCCAACATCACCACTATCATAAAGCTTACTTAGCCCTCCTTACGCATGTAAAAGTAAAAATTCACCTGAGGCATGAAAGTTTTAGCAATGGCGTCAGGGTAGGAGATGAAGGCTAGGCCGGTGCCACCGGAGCCCACGACCTGGCTCACGTCCTGGTTGAGCTCGTGCGCCAGATTTCCCAGGATGCCGAAGATTGTCACCCCCGACAGCAGACTCGTAAACGTGTCCAGCGTCGTTACTATCATCGCGTCCCTGAAAACCATTATTTTGGTTTTTTTAAGCATTTAACTGGTAAATCTATACCAAAATTATAAAGAGGAAAGATTTAATTGTTTGTTTGTATGTTCGCTTGTATTGAATAGGCTCCGAAACTACTGGGCCGATTTGAAAAATTCTTTCACATTTAGATTCCTCCATTATTCCTGATGAACATAGGCTATAGAATACTTTCAAAAAAGTTAGGGTTCCGTATGAAAATTACGATAATGTAACCCAATGTGTGAAAAAAATACCAAAAATTCATATTATATCGCGTGAGCTGCGAAAGTCATTGACAATAGAATAAAGTGATGTACTAAAGTGTTATAGAAGATATCAATATCTACAAAAAAGTTTGCAATACCATTTGGCTCACTATTACAGTTATGTCACAACTTGAGATCCCCTGCGGTTTTACCTGCGTTAATTTTAGGAAAAAGGTTATACTGAGTCATACTTAAAAGACGGACATATGCTGTCGCGGACTGTTTTATAGAACTTTTAAAGGGCAAAAATTCCGTCATACATTATTATATGTATTATATATACATATTTTTGTTTAACTTGAACCGTTTAACCAGCGCACGCAACGAAAGTTCACAAATGGAAGATTTTACCCGTTTTTGTAACAGTTTTCATCGATACTCCGCTCTTCCTGGTTCTAGCGTGATGTTATAGTAATAGTCTATAGCCTTCCTTGATAAATGCACTATCCAACACAAACAATATTTTTTCGGATCGGACAAGTATTTTCTGAGATTAGCGCGTTCAACCAAAAAATAATAAACAATATGGCCGAATCAGACTTATGAAATGCGACGCCACACGACGCCACGCCATGCGTGTTGAGTCAAATCAAAATGTACTAATTTCTACTTAGAGCCTAAACCATCGACGATTAGTGCAATAATTATGAATGATAAAAGTGATTGAAATTATATCAAGAAAGTCATTGTGTATAATAAATACAAGCTTTAGAACTAAACTATAGTCTACGCTACAGCTCTACACCGAAGCGAAGCGAGGGGGGCCACTAGTGTTGCAATAAAAATAAAATAAACTAAAATTGCTATTTCTTCTTCAAAAAAATACTTGTGAAAGTATTTTCATTTAACATTGTGGTTTACCTACAATACGAAGAGATTTCGCTGCCTTGTAGCCTAAGAAATACTATCAGACATTCGACACGGCTATTGGGGTCGTGGTAGCATAATTGGTCAGTGCACTAACTATAGGTAACTATAGGATAACCACAGGCATTACTCTCTACTTTTCATGTCACTCATGTAGTAAGATTGGCAGCGCTAAGTCTGGCATTTTTAGCACGTCTTAATACAAATACATATCGCAAGCGCGACGTTACTATTAAAATTAGTAACTTTTTTTCACTTCATATCGTCGTCTTGAATTCATTTCGACAGATATGCGAATAAAAAGTAGTAATTTGTAGGCAATACCAAAGCCGACGTATTAATACCCACCTGTAAATATTTTGTCTAAATCCGTTGTAGGAGGAGAACATAATAATAGCACCCGTGCACACGGAGAGTGAGAAGAAAAGTTGTGTCACTGCCGCATACCATACCTGTACACATAAATAAATAAATTGCGTTTAACATTATGATAAATAATAATAATCTTTATTTGCAATTACATAGTTTGTACAGATACAATGTAAAACGTTAATAACTACATTAGTCAGAGACTGTGTCGCAGTTATTAGCGCCCCACCTACCACTAAAAATACCAACACTAACATCTATAAAAGCGTCGTTGTGTGCATGTGTGTATGTTTGTGATTGTGTGCGCGTGTGTGTATGTGTATGTGTGTGTGTGTGTGTGTGTACGTGTGTGTATCCCTATGTATATTTTGTAGGGTTAAATCATTTTTATTTAATTACTTTATTGTATAAGAGATTCGACATCTTCATATCGGAGATTATGTAGCCACTCATTTAAAACATTTTTACATTCACGATGTGGTAAACTGTATATATGTAATTTATAATTAATTTTATTGTTAAAAAACTGCACTAGGTACAAATAATGCCGTCTAGCCAGCATCGTTGTGCAATTTTCAATCCTGAAGATTTTGTTAGCTAATCTAGTATTTAAAGCGAGCTCGGGATTATAACTGCAGGATATGTGCTTACGCAAGATAACATTAGAAACGTATAGTTTTCGAACGGATAGAACCTTCCGTAACTCATAGAGCTGAACTGTTGAGTACCAGATAGGCTTAGATGCCATTACTTTCAGAGCTGTTCGTGGAGCCCTTTCAAGAAACATGAGATTGGTTTTTCCCGAGGAACCCCAGACGGTAATACAATAAGTCAATATTGATTGAGCTAGTGTTAGGTAAGCTGTTCTCAATGTAACCTCGTCAGCGCTAATACGCAGTTTCCTGAAGATAAATATCAGTTTTCTGATACGAGATGAAACCGATTCGATATGATCCCGCCAGGACATTACACTGTCAACGATATCACCCAAATATTTCACATTATTGAAACGTAATATTTGATAACAGTTGCAAAATACAAGCGAAAGATTACCTATGGTGGGACACTGAGTTCCATGAGCAGTTATTCTAAATGAGGCATCAGGTTGAGAATGATGTTTAGGTGCAAATGTAGTATAGCAAGTTTTTTCAGGTTAAAAGCAACATGTTACTGGAAAGCCAAGATAAAACTGTTCGTAAGGCACATTCAGCGTGAGCTCGAGTTTCTTCCCAAGTCTGTCCATGAACAAGAATTGCCGTATCATCTGCGTAGGTATTTTACAATTCGGCAGACACAGCTGACACAAACCATTGATATATATTAGAAATAGGGTCGGGCCCAGCACACTACCCTGAGGAACTCCAGATGTTTTGAATCTCTTCTAATATCTTTTTATATTTATTTTTATAAGCTCCCCTTCACCACTGACATTTTTACAATTAAAAATATTAATTATAATAACTATTAATATCTTCACAAATCACAAAAATCTGAGATATATTAAGAATTTTAGTGCTGTCCTTAGCGCTGACTTTTTTCTTTTCAGAGCTACCATTTTGTCAAAAGTAAAAATTTTGTCTATTCGTTCGGTCAATACCTAGATTTATTCATCCACTAATAGAATCTTATGGTTTTTGTAATTTCAGACAAACCAAATCGGAGATATGTGGCTCACCACTTAAGGGCATTTATCGAATACCCTTGTATTTATGAAAAGAAAACCCTATTCAGAAAAAAATCTGAAACAAACGCCTTCTTTTGGTCTTGCAATAGCGTGTAACCCCTTAATCTTTTAGTAGTCTAGAGTGAGAATCTTGGGAGTAAAGCGACATCTCTAGTTCTTAAAGGTTCCAGTACAAAATGTGACTATTCCCTTTACAAGAAACTTTTTATCTATTTCGTGTTCAGTCATCTACAAAAGATAAATAAGGGAATGCACAATCATGTTATTGTTGAATAACCGTGACATTTTGACCAGGGTCACAGCATTCAAGCTACGTTCCTAGGTACTTACATCAAGTTCCAAAAGTTTCCCCCACTGAGGAGTAATGAAGAAAAGGATTCCCTTATCGGCTCCCGGCAATAAGCAGGTGCTGAAAAATTTTATTGATGTCACTTCTTATTCATATCCAATACATAAAATATTACAATTATTATTATATATTATCATATATATGTATATATATATTTAGTCCTAATAATTTAGTTTATATAGGCAATACTAAGTCATATTGTATTTCAATAAATACAAAAATAGCATAAACCATATAGGTAGTTACCAACTCTACTATATAATATATTATCCTACTAAATTAGGGAATCAAATACTATATTTCTAAAAAAAATATAGTAGGGGAACTACTATATTTTGCATAAAGCGGACTTTTGCCATTAAAAACTTTCTTAAAAGCAAAAACTGAATTACTATGGTATAGCAGCAAAAAATACTCAAAATTAAAGTAAATATTTTGACCACATACTATATTTTTTTCCATTTTTTTACCATGTACTATATTTTTAGAGGTAACAGCTTTGAAAAATAATACTATATTTGATAGAAAAAAAGTTGGTAACCCAACGTGTGAGCCTTAACTTAGCGACGGGGTTTGACGTTTAAGAACCAGTTCTTTGTCTTTTCCTAGTTATGACCTCTTCTGAATTCGAACACTTCTTGTAAAACCTAGTTCTTTTATGGTCCATTTCTACTTGTAAAACGGCCTGATTTGATAACTTACATTACGTTGTGCAAAAATATGCAACTTTTTTTGATGTCTTCAAAGAAGTCAAAGAAGAATCCAGAAACAGTCATTTTACGGAGTAATTTTAAGCAGAAGTTAAGTATTCGAATATTATTATGAGTAATAATTATATAAATCATTTCTATATGGTGTTCTTTATGTTAGAATCTAATTGATAGAACGCCATTAAAAAATACCTCATAGCAAAAACAAAAAAAGGCTTCTAAGGAGAACCTTTCTTCTTGGTTAATTGTACAAATGTACAAATACAATTAACCAAAACGCAAGGTTCTCCGGGTATGAACAGTGTTTAATGTAGAATTTAATAAAGAAAGATCACAGCTCGTTAAGGCCAACCGGCACCGTCTCGCGATCCGTTCGTGGTCGACGGGCAAACACAGGTGGATGCCGCGTAGTCAGCCAGCTAAAATCGGGTACGCCACGAGTCGACGTCGTAGTTGACTTCGCGTTGTCAGCCAAAATTAAGTAGTGTGTTAACGATCGTCACTAGGTTTACACTACCGACCAATCACGCGACCAGTACCCGACGTCACTACCGAATAAGATTCAAAACAAACAGCAATTTTTATGAAAAAATATATTTTATAGTACTTACGAATGAAAAGTGATTCCACGGCAGCGCGAACTGTAGGTGTTATTTTTAGATCTTGAGCAATTTGAGCACTTTTTAAAAACACACTTAGGCATTGTTTTATCATATAAACACAAAATATTAGCAATATTTCTTTTTGGCGTTCACATTTACGTCGTTTGCATGTCAAGTTGTGACTAAAGCGATTAGGGTCGTGGACCACAATTCATCCGGATCACTTTTGTGAGGCTAGTGCCGTATCTACCCTTTTTGTTTTAATCTAAGCTACTAAAGCGACTTTTGTGCGTTTGGAAAGCACCGGTGGCATGGTAGGGTAGGGAAGAACGATACGCGCGAGGCTCACCAAAGTACACAAGCGACTGGACTGCAACTCGGCGCTCGTGTAGTGTGTGGGCAATGACGGATTTGTCCACAAATGGGTACGGCTCGGGGTTCGGCTCGCGGTGCGTGTAGTGAATGGTGGGCTATAGAAATCCATACAAACAAATATCAACCACTCGATTTGAGGCGATGCTGGTCGGATGCCGGTCTTTATTATACTAATGCTACTTTGTAAGGTTGCGATTCCACAGAAACGGAGCTGAGCAGTCTTAAAGAAATTGACCAGTGGCATTGCTCCAAAATACATGGCTCCGCGCAGCTCCGCTTTATGTGGGAACGCAACCTAACTTTTTTCAGTAACCCGAGATATCGGGTTAGTTCGCCGAAATATAATTGATAAATAAATTATTTATTACGTGATAAGGAGAATGATCATGACGATATAAGGGAACAGCGCGAGAAAGTAAGCGGCCTTCCCTGAACTCTTTACACCTCTGGCCACCACCACGAAGATGATCACCCATGACGCTAGCAAGCATAGAGTCAAATCCCAAATCGGTGCGTCTGTAAAAAAAATGTATAATTTAATTACTATATTTTCTTATTCGTTGACATATAAATATACCTAAATTATATATGATTGCTTCGTATAACTGTGCAATCCATTTCGAAATCAATTTCATTTCATAATATGCAGTATTGCATGTCTTTATTTTGAATATTTATGTCACATTCCCATAAAAGCGTGAGAAACCCCCTCGCAATATAATTAGGAATTGCTTTTCGACACAGTAACTTAAGTCTTACCCAATTCAGCATCGTTGAATTTATTAGTACTTAGTTAATTATGTTATTTACTTATAATTAATCAAATTAAGTTTTACTTACCCAATCCACCTTCAATTCCATTCTTCTGCCTTAGTACTCTTTTCCTGAAAATCGGTAATATTTTTGGGTTCATCTCAGATTGTGGGACTAACCCCTATTATTGACTATATCGCAAAATGACTACAAATAATTTCGTCTAGATCTTTAATTGACTACGTCGCATAATGCCTAAGATTGCAAAATGACTAGATCTATATTTGACCACATCAAATAATGACTAGATCGTAAAGTGTATAATGCTCTATTTGACCACATCTAACAATAACTAGGTCGCAAAATGACTAGATAGGTTGATTGACTTCATATTCTAGTACAGTTAAGTATAAAATCTCTATAAATAAAAATGAATCGCCAAAATGTATGTCACCAGGCTATATCACATGAACCGTGATAGTAAGACAGTTGAATTTTGTCGTCGTCCCGATACCACAAACGTGTTATTTGCCGTTTTTGCTCTATTTATAACGGCAACAGGTAAACGCTTGAAATTTCAGACAGAATATATAGTTATATATTCATTTTAAAAATAAATACCTAATTAAAATAAAATAAATATATAAGGGGCTCTCCCATTCAACAGACGTTATTTTTTTGCCGTTTTTTGCTGAATATAAGTTGTTGTATACATAGTACGGAACACGGAACCTAGCGTGCGCGAGTCCGACTCGCACTTTGCTGGTTTTTTGTCTTGTTATTGTCAAGACAAAAGGACAAGGTAAGGTTTATTTAAATAGGTAATATTAACAACGATCATAAAAATCATAGCCTTTTTTATCTTATTATACCCTATTAGTAAGTGAGTGGATAAGACAGAAGACTATGATAAATCTTTAATATAGGTATTAACAAAACATTGACAGATACCTTTATAACAGGATTTTCGAAAATATTCACTAAATAAAATATGGTGGTAAAAAGTTCGCCGGATAGATTAGTATAAATTATAATAATGTAACGTAGCAGGTGTTGCTGTTTGTTTTCCTAGATCCAGTGTAAATCGGTCCTGTGAATGGTATAGAAATTTGAATAAACCTAGCCCCAAAGTAAAGCCTCGATGCCACAGGGCGAGTTTACAAGTTACAAGCCAGCTAGTTCGCTAGCAGCTTGTAAACTCGCCCCGTATAGATAAGGATGCCGTCTATAAAATATGACGAATTTTAGTTTTTATTTTAAACATAAGTAAATATTTAGTTTAAAAATTATATTTTGGGTTTTAAGTTACATAATGGTAATTAATAAATAAATGATATTTTTTGCAATTGTTCAGTTTAATTTGACTGTACATTTATGTAACACAACATAAACTAGACAAATAAGCTATCTAGTCATTTTGCGACCTAGACATTTTTTAAGATATGGTCAAATAAAGATCTAGTAATTTTGCGATCTTAGGCATTCTACGATGTTGTCAATTAAAGATCGAGATGAAATTACTTGTTTGTAGTCATTTTGGGATATAGTTATTAATAGGGGTTATTCACACTGCGACTAGACAATGTGAGTTTAACCCATATTTTTTGCATCAGCTATTATTACAATTCAGAGAGAAACTTAAGTTAAAGCGTTTACCGTTCACCTACTTTTGATATGGACATAATATTTTATCAACAAAATAAAAAGAGAAATTGTTTTACCGATTGATTACTGATATGAGTAGCGATTATTGAAGTTTTGCCGATACCACGGCGCCGGCTAATCAAAGAATTGGTCATGCGTGTATCATTCAAATGGCCGAATTATTCGATAACGAATTGTTTATAGATAAATAATAATCCCTATCTTATAACGTTTTCTATATAAATAACATAAATTAACCACAGTAATTATGTACATAGAGGGGAACCTGTTGCCTTTAATACAGGTTATCCTACCACGGGCAACAGTAGTAACTATTTACAATATATTAGCTTTATTATATGTGCCCATTGTTACTAATTTTGTCACATCTGATTAAAAATAACTGATTAATGTAACTTGCTTTAAATCAATAAATGTTTATAATTATTATTATATATGCAAAACTGTGTCTATCTTTCTATCTGTTGCCACTTCACGCTTAAACCGTTGAACCAATTTATAATTAAGACGAAATTTGGTACAGACATATTAGTTATTTTTACAAAGTTATTTTTACCAAGGTTATTTTTACTTTGAATTGAAAATCTCATTGTTTCCCATCCGAAGAATAAAGATTTGCTTAAGTATCCCGGAAAAAGGTATAGAATAGTTTTTATCGCAGAAAAGTCATCATTCAAGAGGATTAAAAAGTCCATAGTAATCATTTTTTGAATTCAAATAAATGTTAAGCCGCAATTATTTATGTGAGATAATAATTGGATTTCAATACTGTAATACTTAAAAATAAGTGAAAATAATAAGAGTTACGGTGTTGTACATAATGGAACGTTGACTAATTGAAACATTTTATTAAATGTAAAAACAACTAATAGGTCAATTTTCCATTAAGCGTACAATATGTAAAATCATCATCAGTCTATTAATGACCCCACTGCATAGGCCTTCCCTATGGATGGAATTAGGAGCTTGTTCCGCGACCCACCACGCTGGCCCAGTCCGGATTGGTGGGTGCTAACGACTGCAGATGCAGCCGGGACCAACGGCCTAACGTGCCTTCCGAAGCACGGAGGAGCTGTCACCCATCAAATAACTGACCACTGCGAAAGTTAATGCCAAAGAAATGTGAAATACATACAAAAAATATAGTTCTGCGCTACTGGTTGCGTTGGTTGTATTGAACGTGATTTGACTGGCTAGTGTAGGGTCTGAGGGCAGACACAGCTCCACCCACTCCTCGTCGCACACCGCCCACGGCAACGTGGACTGGAAGCTCATGGCGAAGTAGAACAGACAAAGCCCGATAATAGACACGTAGTATGATAGGATGTAGCCACAAGTGAGCGCCTGGGCATATCCCGTTCCTGAAAACGACATGTTGAATTCTAAATAAGACGCATTTGCATACATAAAGTTACTGGCAGAACTACATTTATCTGTCGTGTTGTGTTGTGTTGTGACACATCAGAGAGCTATAAGTTTCATACATTAATTATGGTTAGTGTGAGAACGGTGTCGACACATCGTGACACATAAGTATAGTTCTAATCGTATAGAGTAAGATCCCCAGACCCATGTCATTTTAGTAAAGCTGAAATTTTGAGGATTTCGAGTCTACTATCTAGTTGGGACAGTATGCGTACTTACTAGCTCGAGAGCGGGGCCCTTTCACAGGTAGCCCGAACTAAAGTTGTATAAAAGCCTTACTCACCTGCGTTAATGTAGAAACGCTCATAATATGTTTTTAAGAACCATATCATAAATTGATATTTATTATTGCCAGACCATTTCCTTGGGCCTTTACTTCCGCCAGACGTTATAAAGATTATTTAAAAATTAGGTAAACTACGTTATACTAGCAAGCCTACAATTTACATATATTACTCATGGTACTATTTCAGGACGCTTTGAAAGCAGCCAGACCAATCTGATGGGCGCGGCACGAAACTCTAGCGCTGACCGTTATTGCGCACAAGTAAAAATTAAGATGTCTTAGGGGGAAACGAGGTGCGCGGGTGGGCGTGCGTTGCGCCGATTGGCTCTCCAGTCGTACCCATGCGCAGCTATCCCCTCCGCGTTTTGTTCAGCGCTAGAGTTACGAACCGCGAACTATACCGAGCATAAAACTAGTACTCGGCCCACCTCAAATTTTTAATAAGGTCTTCTGGCACTACAGAAATATCGTACCAATATTATAAATGTGAAAGTTTGTACTTGGCTTATTTGTATGTTAGTCTGTTTAAATGTTTTCAACAACGTAAAAACGGCTGAACACATTTGGATGAAATTTGGCACTTATATAGTTTATTTCCTGGATTGAGAGATAGGGATAGTTTATATCCCGGAAAATGTTAGGTTCCTGAGGTATTTTCAAAAATCTAAAGTTAAGGTGGATGAAATCGCGTGCGGCCGCTAATCTAATATATAAAATTCTCGTGTCACGGTGTGCGTAATTGAACTACTTCGAAACGGCTTGACCGATTTTCGATAAATTTTATATACATATTCAGTAGATCTGAGAATTGGACAACATCTATTTTTCATCCCCTTATATGTTAAGGGTCCACCCTTAATTTTTATTTTGGACAAAATGTGTTTTTTTATTTTTTTATGATTCATCACACAAAAATACATACAACCCTAAATTTTCACCCTTCTACCACCAACCTCTACTTTTTTATGGCGGTACGAAGTTCGCTGGGACAGCTATACTTCGACTTTTTATTAGATGCAGTAAAATGACGTTTCATAATGTCATTCCGTAAAATAATGTTGACAGCCTAATTTCAATAGGTATGTGATTAGGTTCACAGAAAATCTAATCGTTCCATAACTCATAATGATCATACTTAATTCTATTTATTATTCATATAAATAAAAAGCTGTATAAAATCTCAAGTTGGTACTGGTTTTTAGTTACGGTGCCACGATGAGGCTTGTCCGCCATTTTATTTCATTTGTCATTCGCTCATTCGGCTTCTAACTTCTGTTTTGAGTGCACGAATAACTTTGTTTTGCCCACTGCGAGTTGTTTTAGTTATCATTTTTTTTTTTTTTTTATATTTCCAACACTCACACCAATTACTTAGCCTAGCCCCAAAGTAAGCACTATAAGGCTTGTGTTATGGGATACTAGGGTAACTGATAGAATACATATACTGTACATATATAAGTATATTTATATAGAAATACATATTAAACATCCATGACTGGAGTATAAATGCTCGTATTCATCACACAAACATCTGCCCCCACCGGGATTCGAACCCGGAACCTCTCGAGTCGGTGACACCATGGAACCCGGCGTACAAACCACTTGACCACGGAGGTCGTCAAATTATATATTGTTAAATTTTTGTTACGTTGTGTTTGTTTTTCGTTACCTACTTACTTTTGTTAATCGTGTCAGCTTTTATTTGTTTGTTACATCGAAGACATGGATGCTCAGTTGAGCACATCATAAGATGGAGATACATTTTTATCTCCTAAGAAAAAAGGCCACGTGTAGCGCTAAGTGCAACTGAGAAACTTTGGGTCAGAAACGTTTACAAATATGTGTTAGAAGTGAAATCTACAGAATCAAACATTGAAGTTCCAAAAACAAGTGAATGCGTCAACAAGGTGGCTGAAGTCTTGGGAATATCCGTCCGCACTGTTTATTCCGTTTTAAAGGAGCACAAGGAGAATGACTGTGAATCACCAAAGCCTCCCGAAAAACCTGGCCGAAAACTTACATTTAAAGAAAAACTTGATGATTTCACATTCACCGCTATTAGACCAATTGTACATCACTTCTTTCATAGCAATGAAGTACCCACCATCGCAAAGGTTAATTTACCTGTCATCACTAATCTTTTTATTATACGTTAGGTATAATATGTTTTCTCCCACCCCATGTGGAATTTTAACCAATTAGATGTGGCTGACCACTAAAAATATTACATTTGAACCAAATATGGTGAAGGCCACTCTCATAGATATTGTGAAACAACAAAATCATACTGAAAAATATGCCGTGGACGAGATTGCTGCACAAAAAGGTATCAGACTTTTAAGACCGCCCCCTTATCACTGTGAATTTAACCCCATCGAGTTGGTTTGGGCTCAGGTAAAGGGGCACTTCGCAAACAATAATAAAACAAAGAAAATGCAAGAAGTGAAAACTTTATTCCAAGAAGGAATCAACAGTGACACCGGCTTAGTGGAGTGACTGTGTGTCTCACACTATAAAAGAGGAAGACAAAATGTGCCACCTCGATCATATTATAGATGAAGTGACAGACAGATTTGTCATTTGTGTGACCGAAAGCGACAGCGATAGTGATTCCGAAATGATTGATTAATAAATAACATTGTTATGACTTTTTGTTTATTGTTTAATTTTGGATGAACGTCCCTATACTTCCAATAAAAAAAAAAACAATCCTTTACTATAGTAATAATAATAGAATGAAAAATCATTACAGCTTAATATTAAATCTCTTAAACAAAACCAAACTGATCATTCATTTATTGAATGATTTACTTACTCACTTAGCTACATCCCTATTTATTTTTCTTCAAAAAGCGGTAACCCACAAAACGTCATTTTACTGCAGCTAATAAAAAGTTCTACTTTAGTAAGAATTTATTTGTTTAGTAATAATACAAATTGAAAGCAAATAGGTAAATGTTGTTTGATCATTTTACTTAATAATAATAATAAATAAATTATTATTATTTTTAGGTGGCAGTATTCTGATAAATCGTAAATGTTCTTCTAAATAGGGTAAAGTTATCACAGTACTCGAGCTATATAAACTTGAGTCTCAATAGTTAAAACTTTAAAAAAAGAAGAGACAAGTACCTTTCATAGCAGGTGATAATGACCAGACTTTGACCGAGTTTCTCGTGCTGAATTGTCCCAAGATACACTCCAGGTAGTACATGGGCTTGCCGATGAGGAGTAAGACGATTATGTAAGGAATCAAGAAGGCCCCGCCTCCATTCTGGTAGGCCACGAAGGGGAACCGCCACACGTTGCCCAGCCCAACCGATGTGGCGATGCAGGACATCAGGAACTCCACTTGGTTGCCCCACATCGCACGCTGCGGTTGGTCTGCTTTAACCACGGGTTCATCGCCCTGTACAGAAATCTCTAGTAAACTTTGTATATTGTCAGAACAAAAGCTGCAATAATGGTACAAAAAATAGGCCTCCAAGGTTTTTTTGCTATTAAGCGACCATAAAAGTATACTTTACAACCCTAGAATAACAGGGACAGTTTTTTTTTTATACTTTGGTCATTTTCATTCTGTGTGTGCATGTTAATATGAGAGATATATTTATTTAACACTTTCCGGGATAACAGGCATTAGTATAATTTAATGTCTTTGATATCGGCCCAGGAAATAAACTGTTGTTCCGAGTCTTATTCGAATCCTTTAGTAGTTTTTGCATGTTTGTATATCCAAAAATACAAAAATTCACAAAGCATGAAAGGCTTTCAATATATTATGTACTAGCTGTGCCCCGCAGTGTTACCCGCGGTTTATTAGGGATATTTTCCCGCAGTTAAACGTAGCCTGTTAATCCAGGGTGTCAGTTAACTCCAACCATTTTTTTTTGACTTAACAAACATACACACTCACAAACTATCGCCTTTATAATATTAGTGTGATTATTTCATTCCAACTAAGAAAAAAATTGGTCGATTGTCTATTTGAGTATGTAGTAATGCCGCAATCATATTTGATCCTTAGCCAAAGACATGCACAGACAGGTGCACTAAAAACATTACTCGAATTAGGTCATCCGAAGCAATATTTACAATGGAATACAGACTGGAAGACGGTGTCAGGTAAACAAGGAAATCTACCCGAATACGGGCGTACTCGACTCCGTTCGTTTACACTTATTCGTTTACCCGAATTCCATTGGCACCCGTATTCGGGCTAGCGACCAAGTTTAATCACGCCGTAAGTCAAAAGTATCTGTTAATTCGATTAATGAATAAATCGTTATACACAAAGTACTACAAATATTAATAAAGAGGATAGAATAACTCATCATTATGGTACATCATCACAAGGTGATTCTATGGCCCAGCATGTTTTTGACCCATAATCGATTAATGTTTCCTGTTATCTAAAATCGATACGTAGTTTATTTACAACCAGCGCACTATCAATAATAATAGACAATAAAAAGATAAAGTTGGTACCACTACATATACCTAGTCCAGCCATAAGTTCTGTTACAAATGAAAATGTATTTTTTTAATGAAGTAATGTAATATTATTAAAATTTATACCTACATATTAATTAGTCTCAACATAAAATTTAAAAAAAACTATTCGTAATGGCCACCTTTGGCTTTTATACAGGGCTTTAATCTGTTTGCTCACGAATCTATGGATTTACGCACTGTTTCCACGGAAATTTCGCCACTGTTTGCTTCAAAGATATTTGAAGAGACTCAATGTCGCCGTTTCGTTTAGAGCAGGCCATGTCCTCTAAAACTAACCATAATTTGAAGTCTAAAGGGTAGAGGTCTGGGCTACATGAGTGGCTAGCTTGAAAGCTAGGCTTGGGTAGTTCGTGCCTTGAGACCAGGTACAGAATCCTGCTGGAAAGTCCACGGTATATTTTCAAAAAGTTTATTGCTGAGAGATTTCACAATATGATCCAAGACTGTATCTTGATAGGCTTTGGCTGAAGTTTTTACTCCTTTTTCACAAAAATGTAGTTTTATGACTCCTTGATAGGACACGCCCCACCAAACCATCACTGACGCAGGATGATGACCACGTTGTACCTTTCCGACTACCTGAGCAGCTTCTTTAGAACTGTGATCGTACATTTTATCGCTTTACTTATTGTAGTGTTCTTCAATCATGAATTTTTTTTCATCGGTGAAGAGCATATTCCTGTGCTTTTCATCTGCGTATCGCAACAGAAGGCGTTTTGATCGATCCACTCTGTTTAATTGTAAAGATTGATTTAGGGCATGCCCTTTATGAATATCGACAATAAGCACCGAGCTTTAGGTCTTGTTTTATAAAACGCGAGAGAGTCCTAGCGGGCAATCTTCATTAATCACGATAACATTTCCTGCTTCCTAATGGGGTTTCGACGAATTCTGGCTTTAACAGCATTAACAGCCTTTGTAGTTCTAACGGCACGCCGCTGCCCCGATATTTTGTGGTCTTCAACAGATGAAATATTGATATATCTGTTGATAGGTTGATAGTACGATATACGATCATACGGCTGATACCAAGCCTTTCAAGTGTCTGGAATATGACCGACGGCTCCATACCCACTTTGTGAAAGGCGATCACTGCAATTCCATGTTGTAATTTGATAATGAACACGAAGAAATATGTGAAATGGCGCAAAATTGAAAGAAGTTTTTAAAATAATATACGTGTTCTAAATTCAAAATAATTAAAATGTTGAAAAAAGAAGTTTTTATGTAACAGTATTTATGGCCAGACTAGTTATACGTAAGTACCTACTACTTATATGAATTAAGTTTCAAAATTTGAATGGAATAACTTGAATAATTTTTTTCTTTAACCTGGAATTTAAAATCAACATTGCCTTGATATACCTACATTTTTTTATTCCAAGAAGGTGTCAACAGTCAATAAAGGTTTGCGACACCTGAATATACTTAAAATTCTCCAATTGCCCACCAAGAATAAAATGTAAAAATAATAATGTAAAGAACTACATCGATAAATCATAGGTACCACGTAACTACCTTTCCTTTTAAATACAAGGTACTTGCAAACTAGTCATAAAACATAATAGCCACCTACTTTACATTATTGCCAATGAAAAGGCAACAGTGTTAATAATAGAGCAGTAATAACAAACGTGTTCAATTATTCTTTGTGGACGTTACTTTATCTGCGCTACGTAGATAAAACGAAGGTGGTTTCCAAGATTTCCAATAGTTTAATGGCAGGATAACTAATATATATTTTATACTTAACGAGATAGGATAGCTGATAAGGCTTATTATTTTTACCTCTTTTTTAACGTATGTTTGTGCAGCCAATTCCGGGTCTTGCTTCGTTTCAGGAGATCCGGAAATTCCGTTAGTAACAGCGACCGTTGTGCCATTACTCGGCGCTAAAGAATTTTCTTGACCGTCCTGTGAAAATATTCTGTATCTTTAACCGAATGATATTAAAACCATAGCCTACTCCGCCCTTTTATGTTTGGGGAAAAACGGCACTCTTTGATTCGGTAAATAAAAAAGATATTCAAAAGATTATTATTATCTATAATTTTTTTATCGCACCAGTAAATAATCTTTACAATGTCTATCAAAGTTATAGATTCAAAAGTTATCATTAAGTTTCTTATGCCTTTAGTTAGTAGAAAAAAGGACATTTTTACTGGAATTCTAAATTATTTGGAAATTCTTTTTTTATTTTACATAATGTCTAGAAACAAACTTAAAAACTAGAAAAACTTAAACTAGAAAAAAAAAGCGGGGGTTTTGAGATTTACTCGAGTGTGGTAGAATAACATATGGGGGGCACCTTGCACCTTGTGAAGTACTTCCACCATACCTGCGCCCTTTATATAGATAACGGAAAAACATTATTTTTTTACCAATTGTACTCCAGTGGCTAATTAATATTCAAGGATTTTACGAGTACTCCAGTAGCTAATATTCAAAAGACGAACGATTTGGACGCAACCAAAAGTCATGGCCGTTTGTTGATTTTCTTCTGCTGGCGTAGAAGTTCGTTTTTATATAAAGGGCTCAGGGATGGGATGGAAGATCCCCAAAATCCCCGCTTCGGCTTAAAAAATTGTAACGCTGAGAAAATGCAATGCATGCACGTAAACACTGCAAATATTTCATCCTTGTGGATAGGTTTTTTTTCAATATTCCTGTATCATGCGGTCTTGAATATTTTAGGGCCGGAACGATTAATACGGCATAAAAATAAAAGAAGGCATTACATCTCATAGGAAAAACGTAGGTATTGATTTTTCAGAATATAGTACTAATTTTTCAAAAAATCTTGTTCAACTATTCGTTTATTGTAAGCTAGATCAATTTAATTGCGAACACTAACAGTAGCATTTATTTTTACTAGACTTGCAACGAATATTCGGTTACTATTCGGTATTCGGCCTATTCGGCTGCTTTTATTATATTCGACCGAATACCGAATACTTAAATAATATATTTTGTCATAGAGAAATAATTGGTAAAATGAAAAATTAAAATCGATTGATTACGTATATATTCATATTTTCATTTCTGTTATACATAATCATTTAAGTAGTCATTGGTACATAACACAGGTACATAATATCATCTTCTGAATTGGAAAAATGGAAGATTCTATGTATTTGAATTATTGTGGTAATCAAAATTTAGAAGGATAAGGTTCTCATTTCTTTTATAATCATTTATTAAGTAGTCATTGGTACATAAAACAGGTACATAATTTAATCATTTTCTGTATTAGACAAGTTAAAAAAATTTCGATTCATTTGAATTATTTTCATAATCAAAATTTAGAAGGGGAAGGTTATGGTGCAGAAAGACTAACATTTCTGCATTTTTAGAAAGTAGTTTACTTCTTTTTTTCTCGTAGACCATCCCAGCTTCAGAGAAAAGGCGCTCTGAATAATCTCTACTTCCTGGCGCCGACAAATATTTTGCTGCAATCTTAATCAAACACGGAAATTCAAATTTCCTTGCTTACCACCATGTATAGGGGTTGTCATGACGTGATATATTACTAATATTTAAGAAAAGATCGGAACAACAGCGGGCGTGCGGTCGATGAGTACATTAGAAAAGACAAAGGAGCGCGAAACAATCACGTCTGTACAAGTTTTTGGCGCTAAAATCCAGCCGTATACTTTTGCCTAATATTCGGCTATTCGGTCAGGGGCCTCGCCGAATATTCGGTATTCGGTATACTGCCGAATATACTGTTCGTTGCAAGTCTAATTTTTACCTATGAATTAATGAGAGGTCGTACTTAAATAAAGCTACTACAATTCAAAACTAAAATCAACAATTAGTTATTAAATTTTAATTTATTGCATTGAAATATGTACTCGATTTTAAAATCAAACAAAATAAAACTTTTACTAAAGAAAATCAACTCATCCTGGATAACTTAAGTGTATAACTTTCTGACTTAGAAAATCACATATCACGTTTTTTTACTCAAAATTTTAACAAAAAAATCCATTCTCACCATTTTATCACAAACACATTTATTTATCACTTAAGCGGAACGATTACTGATCACTTTGAAGAACGACTGGTCAACCGCTTTTGTCTCGTGTCAGGAATCGTCACGCGATTGAGTTTGCTTTCCGCGGCCGCAGGTTTTATACAAAATCCTATCAGCAAGCCAACGTCCGCACTCCACGGTGAGTCTTTTACATATATCAAGTTCTAGTTTACATGCGGCTTTGTTTGTGAAAAGAATTTGAAAGTTTGCAATTATGTCCTTGATTTATGTCTGTTACGGTAGATCGGCTATGTGCGCTGATGGTCATTTGACCGGCGTCGGCGTCTTGCGTCTAAATTGTCGGCGGTGGCAGCGTAATCGGCGTGGATGGTCAAAATCAATAGATTGAACACGTCTCCCCATTTTAAATTTTTTATTTTTTTATTACAATCAACTTTACATGGCACGTTTATTAGAGACTAGCTGTTACCCGCGACTTCGTCCGCATGGAATAGTATCTTTGGGTAGCATTTTTATTATTTAATAAGAATCATTAGTAGTATTTAGGGGGGAGGGGCGGCTGATGTGAGCCCAAGTGTACGTTGTTGGGCAATTCACGTCTACCGTCAAGTGTCACTCTTACGTCCACGTCGTTCACCCCGGTAATACTTGGATCTGTTAACAGGCAACGTACACTAACACCTACCCTGGGATCCTCGTAGCTGAATTTAGTGATGCTATCCCACTGATGCACTCCAACATCAAGGGAGACATTTCCCGTGACCCGCACTCCCTTCTCTCCAACTCCAATTAATCGTTAACCTCTCCCTCATCCCGAATCCTGTCACTCCTTAAGGCCGACCCTAACAAAGGCCTTCGGCTCTACCGGGAAAATGGGAGGCGGCCCGGTAGACTATTAGCCTCTCCTGCGCTATGGCCTGCGCAGTTGAGCGCCGTAAGGGGGGATGAAGGAGTCCTGGAGGGTTGAGTGAAGCGAGGTCGGCGGTAGTACCTTCGCGACACAACACGCCCTCTTTGGTCCGGATTTCAACCGAAACGGTAGCCTCTTTGGGTAGCGCCAGAGAGGAAACGGTCACGCGTCCCGTCAGAGGGCCGCAGCGAGGAGTGGAGGGGTCCGGGGCGGCTTGCCGTTCTGGATGGTTAGGGTCATGCTGACGAGGCAAGGGTGTGTGGAACAACTGGGGTACTCTGAACCGGTAAACCAGCCACACATTTCGAGCTTCCGATGTCGCACCTGACACCAACTCTCTGCTCCTATATCCAGTCGGTAATCCTAGTGCACCACTATGGGCACTCCCAAATGTGCGGGCTCCAAGGAGGGTGGGAAGCTGACTGGATGAAGTTTAAACACACGAACTATGGACACCAACAGGTTCAACGTTCCGCCAACACCCGATGGGAAACCAGAGGGCAATGCTACTCGCATGCAGACCGAGAAATCGGAATGCGTGCTTGAGAAAAGCACCACCACACCTCAAATTGAGGACACCCTACATCTGCTAGAGCAGAACTGGACGGTCGTGACCAGGAAAGGAGCTAGGAAGGTAGAGGAAACTCAGACCCCTGCACCATCCGGTCAGACCTCGAGGCGTTTGGAGAAGCAGAGGGAGCGGACGCGAAGGAGACGGCAGCTCAAACGGGCCGCCCGTTTGACGGCCTCTGCTAGCGACCGTATTGCCCAGTCAGAAGACAAGGGCTCTGGAACTCCAGGGGGAGCGAAAGGCAGCCAGCTGCCCAAGCAAACCCCAGGTGATGCCGGGCCCGAGTCGGAAGCTGGACCGCCCAAAGCAGAAGGGGAAAGGACCCGCGAAGACGAAGTCTGGGGCCAAGCGGGCTAGGCTCGATGAGACAGTGTCTCCTCGAGGCGAATCCAAACGGCCTAAGACGACGGCGACCGAGACCGCCCCACAATCCTACGCAGCTGCAGCGGCCTCCTCGGCTCTCATCAGGTGCGCCGTGTTTTAAGACCGGGTTTATCTCGAGACCGACGGCGGAGCAAATTGAGGAGAAGCTCGAGGAAGCCTTTTACAGGCAGCGATGAGCACGGAACGTCCGGCCTGTATGAGGGAGGGTCTTGCATTTAGCGGGAAACCCCTCTACGCGGACGGGTGCCTTCGCTTTACTTGCACCAACACCGCAACGTTTGGGTGGTTCCAACAGGTGGTACGAGACCTCCACGACTCGGACCTGGGAGAGCTTGTTGTCCTCCGGGACGACGATATCCCCAAGAGAGTCAGGTGTGGTTTTGTGCTGCCTAAGCTCTGGAAACACGATCAGGCGTTGCTAGGCAAATGCCTACAGATCGGGAATCCAGACCTGACACCCGAACGTTGGCTGCTGAACGGCATCCAACAGCAGCCTTCCATCGGGGCCACATTCGTTGTGGTTTCGATCCCTGAGGACGTTGTGCCTGCGATCCTGGCTAGGGGACGCCGACTCAGCTTTATGTTTGGGTCGGTGTACCTGAAGTTCAGGGACGCCAAGGGGAAGTACGTCGACACTCTGCCGACGTCCAACCCCTCAGCACCACTCGGGGCTCAAACCACGGCGAAACCTACACCAGCGCCCCCAACACCATCCACATCCAGCGCTGGCCCCACGGACACCGTTGTTCTACGTGCCTCGTCACCGGCTGTCGAAGTTCCGGGACCCTCGCAGGTGGCGTCTTCGCCGCTCAGTGAGGAGTGTCTCCTGGAGCTCGACGGGCTGGGACTTGAGGACGTCGACTGCCAGGACGATGGCGTCCCTCTGCAGTAGTGCAAACATACTGCAAATAAATCTCCACCACAGCGTAACCGCTACGGCTCAGCTTCGGCGGTGGTTGGAGACCAACAACACAGCAGTCGCACTAATCCAGGAGCCGTGGATTAGGAGTGGCACGGTGCGAGGACTCTCCAGCATAGGAGGTAAGCTCGTTCAAGCCACTACTAGCGACGTAAGGTCCTGCATATACATTTCCAAAAACATCAGAACACAGCCCTTAATGAATTTCTGTTCCAGAGATCTCTGCGCTGTAAAACTGACCCTAAACCAAGATAATAACAGTTGTGACGTGATCATAGCCTCTTCATATATGCCTGACAGCGAGCGGGCCCCACCAGAAAACGTTGCGTCTCTGGTCCGCTTCTGTGCTCGGGAAAACGTAGAACTGATCATCGCGACAGACTCCAATGCCCATCACCCTGTGTGGGGAATGGAACAAAGCAACAACAGAGGTAACCAATTATTTGAATTCCTTCTGAATACTAACCTAGAGTTAATCAACACAGGCAATGAACCTACCTTCGTAGGCAGACGGTGCAAGACCATCATAGACCTGACCCTCGCGACACCAAAAGCGGCAACAGCTATATCTGGCTGGCATGTCTCCAATGAGACATCATGCTCAAATCACCGCTGGATCCGTTTTACACTACAGGTAGGAACTCTACCTCCTACACCCCAAAGGTACCCTCGGAAAACCGATAAACACCGCTACGCACAACTACTGGCGGACCTTCTAAGAAACAACTCCGGTAAGGGCAGAATTGAAACCACGGAGCAGCTTGAACAACAGGTAAAACACTTGACAGACAGCATAACGCGTTGCTACGAAGAGGCCTGCCCCCTTAGACTCCCGAACTCGAGAGTATCCGGAAAACACCACTGGTGGGGGCCGGAGCTCGAGAGATTGAGAGGAAAGGTGAGGAAGTGCCTTAACAGAGCAATGAATACATGCAGCGACACAGACTGGGACAACTACAAAGCTACCAAAGCTAAGTACAAAAAACGTATTAGATACTGGAGAACAGCCTCCTGGAGGAACTTCACCGAGGAGATAAGCTCCACCAACCAGGCAAACCGGTTAAGGAAATTGCTGGCCAAGCAAGGCCCTGGCGTGCTGGGAAGCCTGCGTCGACCTGACGGCACATTGTCCCACAATCGTGCTGACTGCGACGCTATCCTCCTAGAAACCCACTTTCCGGACTGCCAGCTTACAGAGCAGGTGACTTGGCAAGATGAACCTACAAGTACAACAGAAGGATGCTGGAGACTAGCAGAGACGGTAATTACGCCTGAGGGAGTAAAGTGGGCTATCAACTGCTTTGCGCCTTTCAAATCTGCTGGCTCTGACGGCATCTTTCCAGCACTACTACAATGGGGCGGACAGGACGTGGTCGATGCGGCTACTCGTTTACTAAGATCATGTCTGGCTCATCGGTACACTCCACATCTGTGGAGGGAGGTCAAGGTAGTATTCATACCCAAACCGGGTAAAACCGACTATACTAACCCTAAATCCTTCAGGCCCATTAGCCTAACAACCTTCTTACTTAAGACAATGGAAAGGCTATGTGACAGATACCTACGCAGTGGAGCATTAATCAATGCCCCACTACACAAACATCAACATGCCTACAGTTCAGGTAAATCTACTGAATCGGCTCTCCATCAGTTAGTCGGTAAGATAGAAGAAGCCCTTCAAAATAAACTTATCTGCCTCGGAACCTTCATCGATATAGAGGGTGCTTTCGATAAGACCAACTTCACCAGCATTGAGTCTGCTCTCAGGAGACACGGAGTAGAGCAACAAATCATTGACTGGACAGTTAACATGCTTCGCAATAGAATAGTTCGGGTAAAAGGTGATGACAGCAGAGGAGCACTGGTGGCACGAGGATGTCCGCAAGGAGGGGTCCTTTCGCCACTTCTGTGGAACCTCGTAGTTGACGACCTGCTGACCAAGCTAAACTCGAACCACTACTACACCATAGGGTATGCAGATGACATTACTATACTTACCCTAGGCACCCACGCCAGCATTACTTGTAACACCATGCAAGGTGCTTTGAAACTGATTGAATGCTGGTGCAGGAAATACGACCTCGCAGTTAATCCAACAAAAACAGAGCTGGTAATGTTTACAACCAAACGTGACGTAGGTGCTTTCAACTTGCCGAAGCTGTTTGGTATCACACTACAACTGTCGAAGGAGGTAAAGTATCTAGGCCTTATACTTGACAGCAAGCTAAACTGGAGTAACCATGTGGAACACAAAATCAAGACAGCCAGCGTAACACTTTGGCAATGTCGTCAAATGTTAGGGAAGCGCTGGGGTCTTGCACCAAAACTGTTCCTATGGTTATATTACACAGTCATACGACCAATGGTAAGTTATGGCGCCATCATATGGTGGCCGAGAT